CGGACCCAACCAGTGAAAAAGCCATGAGAGGCGACAAACTCAACAGCTAGTAGAGCCAGCCACCAAGAGGCCAAGTTACAAAATGAAGGGCCTGTTGACGCCTATTTTTAGAAGCAGTTCTCTGAATGAGCGGAACAAGGTCGCGATTCGGGGTCGAGATGAGGAATCAACCCCGAAAGCGACCCGCAAGTTTCTTGAAATACTTGTCCGGGACCTGCTTGGTCTCAGTCCAATTTGGGTATGGGCCTGGGTCAAAATTCAGCCACCAGGAATTGGACCACAGATTGTAGTCCATGTTTCCATTTACCGATCGGGCAACCCATTTTTGGGGTCACCCTATGTTTGACCCGCTACCATTTCGAGCCAACCCCCCTGTTCAGCTTTGCAGCTGATGGCCAGGACGAAGTTGATGGGTCCGGCGGGTATCAAGCTTTGGGCTCCGACGGAGGTGCAGCTTGGTTTGCGGTGTGAGGGGTACGTCTCGATGGAGATAGTTTTTTATTTATTTTTTGCGAGGGGACCGAGGAAATTGAAAAATCACTTGGCTCTTTCTGCTGAGACTGTGAGGTTCCTGGGGCAAGGCCCTTGCCTCTGAGAATCTTTCCACTCACTCGGTTTGTTGCAAAGGCAAGCCGTGCTGGGCAGGCCCGATGTCAGATCTCCATTTTGTCCTTTCGGTTCCGTACACGTTCTATGATTCCAGAAAGCTGGACATTGGCGAACGCACAACCGTGGCATCATGCCCTTTGCATTTTCAACGTTTTCAGATACATCTTGCTGTTGCGGCGTTGTTAAGCCACATGCTTCTTGCAAATGCCTGTGGTTTCCCTTCAAGACAACCCCGGACAGGCTACCCTCAAAAAGAGTTGCCAATCAGGGGATTCCCAGTCTTCCAGGTCAGCACCGCAAGGCGATCACTTGTTCTCGTGTTCTGACTCGGGCCAACTTTGTAGGTGTTCCGCTTGTTCGTATTCAAATTGGTGGCAACTGGCTGGTTGAAGGGGCGTGGTCAGTGTGACTGGCAGGCAGCTCCGATGATGAGAACAAGGAGGATGGGCCTTGTGGTGGAGACACCCCGCTGCACGCTGCTACACTCCAAGCTGTTTCAAAGAGGCAGTGCTTTGTTTCTCCAGACTGTAAACGACAAGGGCGGCGCAGGCTCCTGCAAGTGACCTTTCCTGGCAGGCAGACTGGGGCGGCTGGCAGGTTGGAGAGGCATGGCGGGCAGATTCCAGCCTCGTCGTCTCAGTGCTGCTCCTCCAACACCAACCCAAGAAGGGGTTTCGCAAACAAAGAGACATGCCCGTAAGGCGCATCAACCCTTTTAAGACATTGGCAGCATTGTGCCGGAACCTTGTACAGCGGCAGGCGGCGAGCGCTCCCACTGAAGGCGCCAATGCACACATGTGGCATATCTGTGGTCTTGACATTTTCGATCGAGAGTTCCTTCTGAGAGGGCCATTGTTTTTGACCCTTTCCACCGGTTTTGACCCCTTCCACGGTCATCCTGGCTGCCCTGCAGCCACTGAGCAAGATTTGCCACTGCTCCACGGGCGCAGGCTACCCGCCCGACTGTCAGGCTGGGTTTGCTTCGAAAATGCCATGGCTCGAACGAGGGGTGTGCTTGCGGGCTTGCGGAGGGATGACTCGGAGTCAGCAGTTCATTGAGATGGGCCCCCACGTCCAACCTTCGCAGTTCTTGGACTGTCTTGCAGTGGGTGGGTGTGTACCCTTTTGAGGGTTGGCTTAAAGGGAAACCAAAAGGAAAGCCACCATCTTTTTTGGTCGCTCTATTCTGTCACATATCCACATATAAGCAATTAGAGGAGACGTTGCCAGCTGCAGGATGCCTGGCCACAGACGGTGGATGCCGAGGTGCCAAAGGGCACTTGAGCTCTGGTCATCCGGTGAATGGTGAGGCTTTGCTTGTGAAGCCCATGCGCATAGGCGTCCTTTTCGGTGTTTTTTGTTTCTGGAAAAAATAGAGGGCGATTCCTGGTTTAGATGGGGTTTCTGACCCATTTACCAGGGGAACCCATCGATTTTTCCCAAAGGCCATCTACCCGTCTATGGCTCTCTCACGGCCAGCGGCCAGCGGCCAGCGGCCAGCCTCTTCAGGGCTTGGAGGCCTTCGCCGACTTTGGCGCCTCCAACCCGGTCGCGGCCACGGGAGCTTCTGGCGAGAGTGGAGATGGATCCGAAGACTGGGGATGCTCTTTTTGGCTTCCTTTCCAAATCAGGGGGTTAAGGGCAAACAGGTGCCCTGCAACATGTCCAGACAGCTGGCAGTTGACGGAGGCCTCGGGGCTTAGGCTCTCCCGGCACCCCCAGACATGCGCTTGCTCGAGGCTTGGGAGGGTCCAGCGAAGGCATACCCCAAAATGGTGATTTTTCTTCTGGTTTCCCTTTTAACCCAACCCGTCGGGGGTGACGCACATATCGCCAAGACGCCTGTTTGCATCTGGTCAGTGTTTAGGACCTGGGGGCCAAAATTCACTGCAGCACCTCATGTCTCCAGAACTCCGGGACCAGAACACGGGGGAGTTTTTGCTTGACTGGCATTTTCGCAGGCCAAGTTGCTGACCGATGACGAGGTGAAGCTCATCAAGCAGACGATGCAGCAGGCCAAACTCAGGAAGTGTCGTGGCGCTCAGAGCTCTTGCCAATTCATTTTTAGACTTTCGCAAGAGCTCTTTCAGCCAGTCGTCGGCACGCCTTGAAATGCAGAGGAATGGGCGCACCAAACGCTTCAGAGTTCACTCAGCCAAACATGAAAACAAATAAAGACAACAACACACTCACACATACACAGGCACGCATGACAACCAACATGTGCGCCGTGAGGATCCTGGTTTACTCAGCCACTCATTTGCAATCAGCATTTCCGCTGCTTTTTTGCTTACCGATGCAGGTGGATTTGGTAGGAAGGACTGGCTAGCCACGGTTTTTAGAGTGGTATCTTCGCGACAGATCCAGCTGCCGACGCCGGCTTGGGCGGCGAACCTGCCAGAGCCCCGAAGCGGGATGGGAGTGGCAAGAGAAATCCAAGTCTCCCTTTGAATCTGATCAAGGCTCCTTAAAAGATCTCCATTTTGCAGCCATTTGAAGCATGGCTTGTTCCAGCAGAAAAAAAAAAACCAAAAAAAACAATAAGCTCAGGTGATATCCCCAACAGCATGCAATGCTCTTTTTAGTGCTCGCACCACCCCGCCGCTCTCGCAGAACCTCGTGGAATCCCCGTCGAAGCCTGGTGGAACCCTGGTGGCACCCTGGTGGAACCCTGGTGGAACCCTCGTGGAACCTTGCCTCAGGGCCGCCCCGGACCACCCCGGAGCCTATCTGGGCTGAGACCCCAAAGCTTTCAGCTGTTGGGGAACAACACAGGAAAAAAACAAAAACCATTTACAAGGCAATGTTCAGGTGTATAATGTAAGGATCCCTGCTGATGGAGAGGTCCAAATTGGCAAAGTTTTTTGTCTAGAATGATACGTGAGCGCCCAACACCCCAATCCAGTTTGTTCTACCTGACTGAACAGTGCGGTATATGTGCATGGGTCAAAGCTAAACCAGGGGGCCGCAGGTTTTAGTCCTTGGTTTCATTTATCAGGGTTCCATTTTGGGTACTCATTTTTGATCCACAGCCATAAAGGAAACCTTTATAACTATTTATAACCATCGTAGCCACAGTCAAGGGGCTGTGGGTGCTCAGATGAAGAGTAAAGCATTTATTAGAACCGAGGACAAACATCGGCGGCGATTTTGGTAGCTATTTTTGACCCACGCACACTTGAATTCTTGCCAACACAGCCCCCATTTGCTGCCTCGGTGGTGGGCTGCATGTCTTAGGTCAGATGCCCGCTTCCAGCGCATAGTGAAGGACTTTGTGCGCTTGCCTGCACTCGACTGCCTTTTCTCAGCTTGCCCTACTTTCTGCGGTAAGCACGTGGCAGGTGTCCAAGTAGCAAGGGCCACACAAGAATCTGTCAATAGGCTTGTTTCCAAATGGAGAAGCCCCTGCAAAGTTGGTTTCCCCTTTGTTTCTCTTAACACAAGCCCAACAGAGGAAGCGACACCCAGCTTTTTGCAGGTGAGTCCTTGTGTTCACCAGGACTCAATTCGATCCTGTGGCCCATGAGCGGACCCAAAACTGAGAAGCGCTTCCTCGCGAGGAAGTTCTGTCCATTGCGCCACAAGCAAAACCCAGGTGGTTGGAGGGTAGCAGGGAGCTTGCCAGCTTTTGATTTGGGACTCTTGAGCACTCGGACGTGTCAACCGATCCTGACAGAAGGTGACACTGAAAGCTGACAAGCCCTTGGCATGCAGCGCCGGATGTCTGATTAGTTACGTGGCGGCAAAGTTTCGCCAACATTTGGCCATGTTGCGAGATGATGCAGATGCTGGATGGGAAAGCAGCCAGTGTAACATTCCCATCCGGAACCGCGCAGAAGCCATCACGAGTCTTTTGCAGCAAGACTTGTGAAAAGCGGCAGATTCTGCTTCAAGGTTAGCTTGTCCATTTGCTTTGTTCATCTCGTCACACGACACACGACACACCACTGACGACAAGTGCAACAACGATTTTGTGTTTGCTGCTTGCTTTGCAGGCAACGCTGCCTAACTTGCCCCATGCCACTGCCCGTCCAGGTGTCTCCACTGATCGACTTCCACACTCGTAGCCGCGATGACGCAATGCAGGCGGTGCTTGTTCCAGGACGGGTTGACGGAGGACTTACACATTGGACTCTTGGACACACTTTTGGCTGTTGGCCAAGTAGTCGAGCCTTGTTGTTCTTTCTACCTTTTTTGACCTGCATTTGCTCACCACTGAAAACTCAAGTCAAGTGATAGGAAGACAAACGAAGTGAGACCCTTTCTAACCCTGAGGCTCAGCAGAAAAATGTGCGCCTGGAGGCGAGCGCTGGGCAAGCGCATCACCTTGGTGTGCTACACACCCTGGACATCCGAACAAAGCGCGGTGAGCAGTACATGAGACATGGACTATGAGGGGATGTCTCGAATTTGCTGCGGGGCACTCGGCGGTGCCCAGTGTGGCACAGCTCGGCGCAGGAGGCGTTGGCGCTTTTGCCAAGGACGATCCCGACGACGTGCGCGCAGATCGGTCTCCGGTCGCCGCGAAGCTTCTGGGGATCCTCCTCCTGGGCTGCAATGTGGTGCTGAGCTTCGTTCCCATGTGCCAGGCCCTGCAAGGGCACGCTAGCAGCTGCCACGTTGACTGTCGCCTCATCGAGCATGCTGCAGATTGCACATTTGGGGGAGTCATCGAGCAAGTATTGGAAGGGAACAAAGCAGGCCTCCTGTGTGGATCTTGTGCTTCCAGGTAAAAGCAAGGTGGATCATGACCCACAGAAGCCCATCTTCCCCAGATTGCGAGAGCTTCCTGGTTAGACATCAAGACTCTTCGTTATTAACATATGAAGAAGGCATGCATGGAGCCAGCACTCACTGTGTGTTCTGTCGTCCTCTCTCCCTCCCTCTGCTCCCCATCCTCCCCATCCCCCCAAGCCTCTCTCTCCTCAATCTCACTCTCTCCCCCTCTCTCTCTCTCTCTCTCTCTCGACCTTCTTTCACCCTTTCACCTGTGCCCCTTTCACCCTTTCCAGAATGTGTTTTTTGCCCATTCATCCTGAGGTTGGGAAGTCCCGCTGTCCTGCACCTACATGATCTGTCGACTTGAAGGTTTAGGCACGATGGGCTGGGAGGTGTGGTGTTTTTCTTGTGTTTCATGTTTTAGTGTTGAAGGAAGGGTTTGAGCATGTAGCCGTCCTGGTCTGTGTTTGCATATGCATACACATCTACATATAATATACACATATACATACATATACACATATACACTACACATATACACGTCATATACACACATACACACATACACACACACACACACGTACACACGTTTGTCTTGCCTGTTTCAGAAGGCACCGCCCTGTATATCTTCACGCTGGGCAGAGGGAAGGGAGGGCAGGGAGGGAGGGTTTGTATTCTCTAAAACTAACAGGTAAATAGAAGGGTAAACTCTCGCTCAAAATTCGGTTCAACCTTTGTTACCCTCAAGAGTTTTTAAGGGAACACCGGTCACTCCCGGAACTTGTCCCCCTTTACAAAACTACCCAGTTTCCCCTGTTAAATACACCTGTCCCAGTATTTGCTGTTTGCTGTGTTGTTACTCCAAAGATGTTTCAAGTTTCAACCACAATCCCAAACCTCACACACAGGGCACGAGAGAAACTAAAATATCACCAATCAAATCCGTAGGGATTTTATACAGTTCATCCTGTTTATGTTTAATGTATCCCTCGCCCCAATCCGATTTCTTACCACTTGGTAGTCTGTGTGCCGTTTCTATATGTTTCCCATTCCTTACTTTACCACAATCCCCACAACACAAAGGCTTAGGTTTCCAAGTAGTTATATTTGTCCATAACCTAGTCCGTTTCCTGTAATTAAACCCGTATTTACAATAATCCACATCAATGTATTTTAGGCCACTCATAAACGGTTGTTCCTTTAATAGTCCAGTTTGAGGGTTTTCAACAATCCACCGAACAGGCTTGAAATAATCAATAATCTCAAGAGTTTTTAAAACAATACTATTAGCATAATCTATCTTGCGGACACCAATAGTTTTTGCCCTACTATATTCGGTACATGGAGCGGACGCCCACACAACATCAAACTCACCCACATCAAACTGTTTGTAGTCCCAACTCAAAATGTCCGTATTGATGTTCGCATTTTTCAAATGTAGTGAGATGACACTAAATCCCAAATCTCTGGCAACCTTGCCCACTGCATGAGTGCCACTAACTAGTTCTAATAATTTCATATTATTAGAACCATTTAGATATTAATATGTTTGTCAATTACGTTGTCATTTGATTGACTTGATTGACATTTGATTGATAGTTGGTGTCTCTTCATCCAGTCATTCCTGATGAGTTGATGACACGCATTACATTCAACCTGTTTACCTCGTTCTTCTTTTTGCTTTTGGTATTTTGCTTTGTCATATTCATTTAGTTTATCACGGTTCAGTTCTCTGTATTCTTTGTTATACTCTTTTCTATGTTCTTTCACTTCTGGTTGTTGTCGGTATTCTATCGCTGGTCTTCCAGTGACTTGTTTATTTCCACATTCTGTTTTCCTAATATGTTGTCCTTCTTGTCTTTGTAATTCTTCTTTACTATTGCAGGGGTAGTTTTCAATCAGTTCTATCTTACAATTTTCTAACCCGTATTCATCAAACAATTCAAACGATGCCATCCTTCTCTACTTTTGATTTTGGTGTATTTTGCAATTGCTTCTATTCCTTGTCATTCTTTGACTTATTTTCTCGCAGGTGCTTCCAATGTAGCATTTGTTATATCCTTTGTCAGTGATTTTGTAGATTTTACCATTTTGATATCTACTAATATCCATTAAACACAGTATATATCTTTTCTTTAGGATTAGTGTCGCAAAGCTCACTAGAGAATTTAATCCTGAAATTCTGTAGAGTCGCAAAGCTCACCAGGCTATTACTTCGTAATAGCGTAGTGTCCATAAGGTAGAGAATTAAAGACATCAAAGTAATAGCGTTTATTTTCATGGTTCTGAGAGATTGTTTGACCTGCGACATTGAAAACAATTGATGATTACGACTTCGAATACGATTGTAAGATATTTCTTGCTTTTTGTTGTGATAAAATTATTCTTCATAGTTTGATAATTCAAATCTTTTTTGACTTTGTGCTTAACACACCTGTTGATTTCTTATGTTCTTCTTCTTCACCATAGACTTGAAAAGCATGTGATTTAGGTTTCAATCCAATGAATGATGTTATTATTTGTCCGCTTAATTTATCCTTAAATTTTCCTAACAGTTTCTTGTTTGTTTTGTCATGGCATGGATGTTCAACAGCATAATCGCTAAAATCCATAGGTTCCCTTAACTCATTGAAGTCCTTGTAGATGTCAGTTTGAGTTTGAATTACATAACTATCAGTATCAGTATATATCAATTTGATGTTTTTATTATATCTATTTTTAAATACACCATAATAAAATTGATACATGTGTAACTTACTCAAATCCAAAATAGACATTCCTAAGAATATAGGCTTATCAAGTTTCAAGACCGATTTATATGCTTTCTCTTGTCTTCCATAGTCTTTCCATGCACCGCGTTATTCATCAATTTAAACAAATCCTTCTCAAAGTCGCTCTTCGCTTCTTTCCTCTTACCAGTGTTAAAGTCAATCCACGGCTTCAGCCATGCCCTCTGTTGAAATGTTATTATCCTGTGAACCTTTGTTAGTTTCAAATCCATTTTTAGATAATACTGTAAAGTCCTGATATGAACCACATACTTTTCTTTGTCTTACAGATTCAATATTATCTTGTTGGTCTTCTCATCCTTCGGCTCTTTGTTTCCGTTGTAGATTGTGTAGATTTCCTTTTGGTAGTCGGAAAGCATATTAGCATTGACGTTCATAATTTCCGGTGCCAGTGGATAGTCTGAGTGGTAATCGTGCAATGTCTCTGGATATTCCAAATCCACTTCAAGGATGAAACCGAACTCATCTTTGTCGTCCCACTTTTCAATGTTAGGTGTTTTCTTCGTCCATTTGATGTTCTTTAAAGGCAATTTTTCAGACATCGCCAGACCATACAAATTGTTAGCATCTAAGTAATTGATATAACTTGATGGTTTGCTTTCGTCAAAGGCTTCGTCCATATACTTATTGTTTACCATCGCCAGCTTATGACTGACCTGACACATGCCACCTCTCATTCCCTTTTCAACCATCTCATACATTTCTTGGTCGTGTAATTGTTCAATTTCAACGCCAGTTTTCAACAACATAGCTTCAAGTTAGGAAGCGTGTAATAATGAGCGGGGTCTAAACCGTAGTATTCCATACACAAGTCCCTAAAGTTTTCAAATACATGGGTCAATAGTAAAACATCAGTTCTAAAATACAAATCGTGATACTGTCCAAGTGTTCTAATCCCGAAGTGCTTCCAGACCTTCAAGGCTTGTTCGCAATCCTTGTCGCTGACGTGCTCCTCGCTCAACTTACTATAAAACGCTTCTTTTGGTGGTAGTTGCCTTTATTTAAACAGTTCAAAGTCATCAAAGTAGTCGTAGGATAAATACCTTTATCAGTTAATAAATCCAAATCTTCATCGGTTTTAACATACGGGTTTCTATCGCTATATCTGAAATTGTTCTTCCAATTCTCACGCTTTTTATCATCTTCATACTTTGAGAATTTTACTAATTTATCCAAAGAAGATGATAAGAAACTGAAACTGTCCTTGAAACAGATTTTTAAATCCAAAGGTTATAAACTTCTCGCTGTTCTGTGCGATACAATCTATTTTGGCATTCTTGTTAAGTTCGTGTGCCTTGTTAATGATTAGGTGAGCATCGTAGTTTTTAAGGTTATGAAGACACACGGGGATTTTATAATATCTCAGACTAAATCGAAGATTACAGTCCTCGTGGGCGCAACCTCTATATTTACCCGTAAAGTGGCAGTGGTCCCAGCATGTCTTGGTTAGCGAAGCTGACACATCGCTCACGCTAGATGCGTCTCCTTCTTGAAAAGCATTGCCACAAATGAAACACTTGGTAGCGTTGTTGAAGTCCTCCCAGTCCTCCTCGGTTTCAATACTGTCTTTGTCCTCCTTCATTTTCTCCAAAACTTCCTCTCTGACTTTATTGATTTTCTCAACGAACTTATCCATACAATCTTCACCTCTGTATAAGTAAGGCTCACTACTTCCGGTTATAGCATTGACCACATTAATCATAAAACTGCATGGACGGTGATTTTGATATGATGAAGTTTTAGCTTTTGTCGATTTGCTTTTAACATCAATGGGCACAGTCAAACATTCAAAGTCAGCATCGATTACAAATGGAGCTTTAAGTTTCTTGAAATGGTTTTTGAATGCTATTGTTTCACCTGCTTTTGGCATTTCTATTTTTGACCCTCAACTGCTAGACATCCCTGTTCTTCGTGTTTCTTTAAAAGTTCTTCTGATTTAAAACCATGAGAGCAGGTTCTACAATGATGTTTTTTCTATTTGTTTTGTTGGTTTGACCACTCATCAACTTATCACAATTTTTGATATAAACATAATGATATTTAACATCATCAGTCAATTTAATCAAATCTATTTTGTGCTGTGCTTGTGGGTTGTTGCTTCTTTTGTATAATAAAATTGTTTTACTATTCGTATCAGGGTTTATATAATTCATTAACCGATATGTGTTTATTATCTTCTTCAAACTGTTCAATCTCATCATTACCTACTGGACAGTCAATATTATCCCACTTGATGAAACTATCATTAACATATTTCTTATAATGATACATGTCGCAGGGATGGTCTTTTTTGTATAACTCATAAAAGCCACATTGAACATACTATTTAAAACATAAGTCATCCTAATTTTTAATATTAGTACAAGCCTTTTGTTTGCCACCCAGTCGGGTAATGGAATAAAAGATGCCCCACGAGTAGGATTGTATCTATCGTAACTGATGACTAACTTTTCAACTTGAGCAAGAACCAATCCAGACTGAATGTATTCGGTTATTTCAATTTGTGTCTCAATGTCGTGACCAATGTTGCTCAAGACACTGTTCAACTCATCAGGATTATGAACATTGTATCTCCTGCTTCTTAACCTCCTTTGGATAACTTCATTGTTTGGGTTTTTAAATGATAAATCGGTTTCCACGATTATTTTCATGTTAGGGTTTTTGTTGAGGAACTCTGATAGTCGTTGTTTCTGGTATTTTAAGTAGGATAAACCTTTCATCCCCTTTAATCTTATATCACTGACTCAATATGTGTTAGCATATCGCTTGAACGCTTGTTGCTCGTCAGTGACTTTGGACTTGAAACGCTTGACATCATCCTGTAAGGGTCTACGCCTCGTTAGTTTTAGATAATTAGCACCTTTCATTAAAAGACTGTGCTTTCTGTAATCGTCACTCCTCGCCACTTCCTTGAGTTTCGTGTTCAATACCTTTGAAACTGGTTTGTTCTTATCGTATCTGTAGGTCTTATCGCCTATTTTGAGTTTTTGTGTTTGCCTCCCTTCTTTTTGTATGAGTTCGCCTTGTTGGCTGTGTAAAATGAAATCCATGATTTTTCCTTCTGACATTGTAACCATAATAATATACTCTATATAATCTAAGGTAATTTCTCTTTCAGTAGTTTTTTTTCGGGGAGGGGTTGACTGTTGGAGAAAATGGGTTTCAGGTTGAGAATGAAAGCATTAATCTTATTGAGTGTTTTTAATAAGATGAATGATTATTCTTTCATAACGAGCATTGTCTGCTCTTTAAACACATGTCAGATTTCTTATGTTTTGATACATTGGATTTGCTTGAAATTGTCCTTCCGCAGTCCTCGCAGGTGTAAGATTGTTTTAGGTTTCTGTTGTAGTAATTGTGGTGGTAGGTCTTCTGGTTGTCCCTCCACCTCACGGGTTGCTCGCTGTCATCGCTTGACGATTGGTTCTGTTCGCTTATCCTCTGTAAGACTAAGTCATTTTCCGCTTTAATGAGTTCAACCATTGAATCAAACTCGCTGTTCGTTATTATATGTTTTCTATTGCCGTCAATGAACATTCCTGTCATTTTACTATATAATGGCGTTTTGTCTTTAAGTAGTGTAATAGTTTCTTAGTTAGTCTTTATTTTTATGTTAAATCGTTTTTCCATCGCAAAACATCGTGGCAGACAATCATGACTGCGTTCTGCGCAGAGACCTGTGAACAGAAGATAGAGAAGACCCTCCAGCAACTTGAGCAAGCGGGCATCAAGCTCTCTGGCAGTCGATGCTCGACAAAGACAAGTTTGATCAGAGCGTGGATGGATGGGTCGACCTGGGCCTGCCAGCGCCTTTTCACATGCGGCCCTTGAAAGGCATGAATGAGAGCACAAATTTCGGGATTCAGTCGAGCCTCATGGGGGATGTCGTCACCATCAGTCTCAACACTGCCACGCTTCAGCTAGCTGGCAGCAACTCGCTGAAACCTGTGGCAACCCGTCATTTGAAGAAATACCTGATCTCGGGAGCATCAGAGTATGTGAAGGATGCAGGCGGGGCTGCGCGCTTGGAATAGAATGTTTGCATGGGCATTCAGTACTGCGCCGAACACTGGGTAAGTTACCCACACATTTTATCATTTAAGCAACTGGGCCTGTGAAACAGGAACAAGAACCCAAAGCAGAAGCAGAACCATTTCGATGAAACACCCTTTCATAGCATTGGCACTTCTTTCACTCGCTCCTGCAGGCCAGCAGGGTATGGGCCTGCCAGCGCCTTTTCACATGCGGCCCTTGAAAGGCATGAATGAGAGCACAAATTTCGGGATTCAGTCGAGCCTCATGGGGGATGTCGTCACCATCAGTCTCAACACTGCCACGCTTCAGCTAGCTGGCAGCAACTCGCTGAAACCTGTGGCAACCCGTCATTTGAAGAAATACCTGATCTCGGGAGCATCAGAGTATGTGAAGGATGCAGGCGGGGCTGCGCGCTTGGAATAGAATGTTTGCATGGGCATTCAGTACTGCGCCGAACACTGGGTAAGTTACCCACACATTTTATCATTTAAGCAACTGGGCCTGTGAAACAGGAACAAGAACCCAAAGCAGAAGCAGAACCATTTCGATGAAACACTGGTTTTCCTGTTTTTCCTTTCATAGCATTGGCACTTCTTTCACTCGCTCCTGCAGGCCAGCAGGGTATGGGCACCAGTCGTTTTCCATGGAGAAGTCCGTCGTTTTCAGTTCGGTGGCCAGCAAAAAGCGGCGAATTGCTCATGCAAGTCTTGGCCAGTACTTGTTTCATGCCTCCCTTTGTAGTATGAACGGCAATGGTCATTTGTTTGGCTGCTTCTGGAACTTCGGCGGTGCGCCTGCTTATTTTTGTTTGCACTCTGAGTTGATAGAATCTACCGCCACGCCATTCATCCAGCTAGACGTTCTTGCGTGATGCTTTTGTTCGGCTGTTGTGACGAGCGATGCCTTGCCTTTGGGATGTGCGTCGATTTGGAACCCCAACCTGAGGCCTTTGCTTCTGATAGCTGAACTGAACCGCCCAACAACTCCAGGCTTTGCTTTTCCGCCGCAATCCGCACAGGAGTGACATACCCAGAAGTAGAATGAGGATCCTAGGAGACCCTACTTCTTTAGCCCAACTGCCAGCACCCTTCCCAGCCCACTGATCCCAGCCCAGCCCTGACAACACCTCAACGCAGCAACCAGCAGCTTCCGATTTCTTCCTTCAAACTCTTTTTCAGTCGGACCAACCAGCCGTCCAGCCGCGTCCAGCCTCGACCTGCACCTGAGCGCATACTCCGTTGGTTTTCGGGGGACTTTCCGGAGCTCACGAGGGCCTCGATCGCATGTCGGCCTTATGCGCGGCTGGGGCTTCAGCTCCCCCGGCCGAGGCATGCGCGGGCCGGGCAAGGGGCGCCTTGGGTTCAGGAGAAGGTCCGCCCCCAAAACGGTTGGCGTTCGGTCCCTTCAAACGTAACAAACAGTGACAGTGGGTCGCCAAGGCATACTTACATGGGATGGGATGGGTTGCCGTTCAATCAGATTTGCGTCCAGCCCACCCGTGGCAAGGTGGCACGGAGCTTGCCAGCGATGCGGCAGGTCGGCGCTTTCGCTGGCCCGTCTTCATTGCCAGGGCTCGATGGCTGGAAAGGTTCCAATAGGAGCCCCTGCCCCCACTCGAATTCCAAAGCATTGTAAACGATGGAGCCAGAGCTTCAGGCATAGCGTTTGTGACGCCTTGGCGCTAGGTGCTCCTAGACCGAAGACACGTGCCAAGGCATTGCCAAGCAAGGGTCTCGGATTTGCGGGAAGGCAAAGCGTGGTGAGCCGCATTGTCAAGGCTGAGGTGAGGTCTGATCAGGTGAGATGTTCGAGGTGTTTTTTTGGGGCGTGAAGCCAGAGTTTGGCGGGTGGAGTCCTTGGGTTGAACTTTTGGCGTGTGGAGTCCTTGGGTTGAACTTTTGGCGTGTGGAGTCCTTGGGTTGAACTTTTGGCGTGTGGAGTCCTTGGGTTGAACTACTGCAAACCACCCTGGGAGTTCCAAACTCACCACCCTCAGAAGCAACGCCTCGCATTGCCCAGGGCCGTCCCTGAGTCGCCCGGCGGCCTGGGTCGCGAGGTCTCGGGGCGGGTGTGGCTCAAAATTAACTAGGCGGGGCAAACCGCAGGTTTTGGCACATGTTCCCACTTACCAGGGTTCCAGTTTGGAATTCCGGTTTTTTGAGCCGCAAGGCGGCGGCCGTTTCGTTTCGGGCCGAGGCGATGCCGCGAGCCAGGAGAGCCTGGATCGATCCGTTAGAGAAGACCTAGTGGGTGTGCCGATTTGGAGGTGCCCCTGGGTTTCTGTCGGTTTCGAAAGGGAAGCCAAAAGGAGAATTGCGCCATTTTGGCCGACACACAAGACGAGGCGCCCATTTTCTGGTTCAGTTTGAGAAGCTTGCGGAAGCGCAGGACCAACAAAAGGCCAGAAGCCGGGTTTGGTAGCTCAGTGGACCGGCTGCCCGTGTCTAGCTGTGCAACCTTCCGTGGTCCCTCTCTAGGCGGCCTGCAGCGAGTGCCATGTGTGTTTTTTATGTTGAGGGCCCCCCCAAAGTGGCGGTGTTCCTTTTGGAAACCACAAAAAACAGGTACCCACTCCACACAAGAGGCCATGTGGTTGATGAGCCATGCAGCGGCCTAGGCACGACGCCGAGCCAGGCAGGCAGTCAAGCCGTCCAATTACACATCTTTGGTTGCCGAGACGACGAGATCCCAAGAGGCCGCAACGGGGATTCAAATCCTTCAACCAACCAGTAACCATATGTGGGTGCGTGTTTATCAATAGGATTTGGCAAAATCATGGGGCGTGTGCTTATCAGCAAAGCAAGATTCGGAACCCCCACCCCTCCCCGAACATGGGCAGGTTTCAACCTTTGGCTTCCCATAAAAAGAACCAACCAGAAAGGCGTGCAGCCTCCCCAAAAACACGCGACGGCGCCGAAGGTCTGGCTCGGAGAAGGCGCCGAAGAGGCGTCGGTGGGGGGCGGGGCTGCGGGGTGGGGTGGGGGGTAAGGAAAGAATCCCAAGTCATTTGGAACTAACTTGAAGTATTTGCTTGAAGCACCATGCTGAAGTACTATCTTGCAGATTCCTCATCCAATTTCTGAGATTGATTTCCGGCACTGCCTCGACAGGCGGAAGCGGCGGAAAGCCAAAGACAGTGACAAGCCGCAGGAGTGTGCTGCCAACCCCCGTCAGCTGCCACTATGCGGAACTGTGGCTGGGAAAACAGAAGCCTTTGCTCATTTTGCTGGTGCGATAGGTAGGGCATGACCGAGTCCGGGTATACATGAACCGATTGGGGATTGCCTTAAAGGAAACCGCAAGGGATTGTTTAAATCGGAGAGTCATTCGCCATGTTGCGGGGACGAGACCCGAGCTCTTTGCCAGGAGCCGACCGAGGCCAGGAGTGGAAGGAGCAAAGAGGGCCATGGTGAGCATCGCTGTGGGCTGATTTAGAGGAGTTTTCTTGCAATTGGTGTCCTTGGGGTGTTTCTTTCTTTTCACAGGCGCATGCCTGTGAGGGTATGCTCGGTTTTGGCTTGCGTCCTCTTGCGAAATGTAGCGACGCGCAGGCCCAGGCGGAGTCAGAGACGGAGGTCATGCCGGCCTCTGACTCGGAGAAGGAAAGGGCCCAAGGCTGTGCAGTGAGACTCCGGTTGCGGCGCAAGAGGCGAATTCAGGGTTCCACTTTTTGCCTCCACAAGATAGGCTTAAACTCAGGGGTTCCCCATTTGAGGGTGACGACCCACTGGGTTTCAGTCTGCCCTGCGGTAGTCAAAAAGTGGAACCCTGGGCGAATGTCTACCTTCCCAGAGTTCAGGACTTGAAGGACACGGAGGTGAAAGAGAAGGACGACTTGAAAGAACCCGCCGACTTGAAGGATGCCAAGGAGGAGGTGAAGGATGAAGACACGGAAATGGCGCCCGAGAGTGAAGAGGATGCTGAACAGCCTGCTGCCGCGGAGGAGGGCAAAAAAGAGGCTTGCAAGAAGCGAATCTGCGGTACTGCTTGCCAACTGGCTGTGGGCAAAACCAATGGTACCATTTTGTGGTAGGTGCACCACCGGTTTTAGTCTATTTTAGTGGGGATTGGGATGTTCACTGGGGGTACGATTTGGATTCTGACCCATGGACAACTGGACCGGCGCTGCAGGGCAAGAAGAAGAAGAAAGGCAAGAAGGACAGGTGCCCCTTCCTTCGCGGAGGTTCATTGAAGCTAGCCGCCATGCAGAACTTGTCGCGCTGACATGGAGCAAGCCGTAAGCGTCAAAGCGCAGGAACGCAAGGCAAAGCGGAAGAAGGCGTGCCCGTTTGATTGTTTCCTTTCAATAGACTGGGAATTGGGCACTGTATGTGTCAAAATAGGGGGACCTTCAAATGTGTCGTTTCCTTATTCCCAAAAGGTGACGCCTAAAAATGGCACCAACCCCCGGCTTGTTTTTGAAGCCACTTCTGTTACATTTGTCGCGCGAAGCGCGACAATTGCGGGAAAGCCTGAGGCAAAAGCATCTGAGGAGAAGGACTGCGAGCAAGAGCTATTGTCATGGAAACCAACTAGCAGGGATACAGGGGGAACCAGTTGGATACGGGAGGATTCCCCCGTTTGATGCACCTTGACCTTTGTTTGATATGGGAAATGGCGCCTTGCACGGGAATCCCCCCATATCCCCGCTCCCTCCGTATCCCCGCTTGTACGTTTGTCCAATTTTGTGTATGTCGCCCTTGGTGCGATCCAGCCTGATGCGATTGCGTGCAATCCATGCTTTAGAATAGCGGATCCTTTGCATCTCCAAAGCCATGCGCTGGCAGCGCTTTGCTAGTGCCTGCCCGGTCATGTCTCAAGGAGAAGCAGGAAGTGCCTGAGGACATGTGCTGGGGCATGAACTATGGCTTGTTGAAGCCTTGCCAAGTTGCGTTGGCGCGGACCTTGAAGAGGAACGCATCATACTCACTGGTCCCAATACAGCCTCACCAGGGTCGCATCTTGCTGTATGCCAGGGTTGTCGCCGACGGGGGGGGGAGTATCACACAGCTGTGAAGTTTGAAGCTTGCTGTTGATCAGGAGCCTGAAGATCCCGAGCGAAGCAGGACCGATGCTTTTGTTTGGGAGCCGTTAAACGGATGAGGTGCTTTCTTATGTACTAGGGCTGGTTGTTTTACTAGGGCTGCTTCGCCTGGTCGGTTGGTCGGTCGGCCACGCTAGGCCAACGGGTTGCACGCATGACTTTCATTGGAGGGCCATTTTGTCAGTTGTTTTGTGTTTTTTCTCTGGGCTGGCTTTTTGGCTTTTGTCGGCTTTTCGACCCTGGACCCACCCTAAACCAACTCAGTCCAGCCTAAGATACAACAAAACCAACCTCAAACCAAACCTAAACCAACACGACGCCCTAAAGAAACCTCAAACCCACCCCAAATCCACCCCAACCCTAAACCCTAAGCAAACCCCAACTAAACAAGCACTAAACCCACACCCTAAACCAAGCCTACAGGCACCTTAAACCCACCCTAAACCATCCGTACGCCAAATCAACCCAACACAGGCCCCCTAAGCCACTCTAAACCAACCCCAAACCGACCCTAAACCAGCCCTAAGCCAGCCCTATACGATCCCTAAACCCACACTAAGCCAACCCTAAACTTGCCCGAAACCCAGCCCCAAAGCCAGCCCCAAACCCGCACCAAACTAGCTCTAAACTTTTCCAACTTTTTAGCCAGAACCAACCCTAAACCCACTCTCAGACCAACTAAACCAATCCCAAACCCACCATAAACCAGCACGCAAGCCCTATGCCAACCCCAAACCAACCCTAAACCTTCCAAATTCAACCTAAACCAAAGCTTCTGGTGATGTGGGGGGTGTTGAACAGGATGTTGGGGGTGTTAGACGCGATGCTGGGATGTTGACTGTGCTGGTGTACACCTGGTGCATTTTGTTAGGAGCTACTGTAAACCACGTCATTTTAGTGCCCACCGAACCTAGGAACAGACATGTTCGCCGAACCTAGGAAAATAAAAAGAACCCTTCCGCCTGCTGCTGGGTTAGCAGTGGCTCTGCGGTCGCTTCAGGGTGGTTAAGTGGGTCTTGGGCTAGTTGAGGCTGGGTTTTGGCGCGTTGCCCCAATGCTAAACAGGCCGCGCAGGTAGTGTTGTTGCATATGGCTATGATTTTAAAGTTGGGCACTTTCTCAATAGGCAGACATATTTATCTAAATGGTTTCCACTAAGGGCTCCCGAATGAAGACCACCCATGCCTCCCATGTTTTGTCTCTTTTCTAGTGGGGGTGGCTAGAGCTGTGCACGCTGAAACTCTGAAACTGGAGACATCCAAGTGTTTTGCCAGGAGGGAAGCTGAGGGGGTGCTTGAGGCGAGCGACGGTCGGGCGATCGAGATTCCAAATGCGGAGTTTGGTTGCCGACCGAATAGGGAGCTCAAGAGGCTTGTTTGCTTTGCACGTGAAGACCGACTACATAAAGTTGCAGAGTTTGAGAATCAGTTGCATGTAGCAAGGCCGGCGATTGATTGAAGCAAAACAAGCGCAGTCCTTGGCAAGGGAAGGCAACACAACGTCAACAGTCATGTCAAGAGGGGGCTAGTCCCGTTGACTGAAGCTTTAGATTCCATGACGACCCACTAACAGTAGTTACGACGCAGGATGCGCGAGCAAACTCAAACTTCTGCTCGCAATTTCTTTTTTACGCAATACAGGATTGAAAGATCTAAGTTTTGGCACAGTTGCTTGTTGCTTTCTTGGGATGTCTTTGCGTTATTCTGGCAAGTAGATCAGTCCTCCCGTGTTTCAGCATTGTGGTGAGCAGCACGCTTGGCTTTGCACAGCAGCTTGCATAGACTCAATGGTCACAGTTGCGTCGTTTGATGCTGGCAGGCTGGCAAGAAGAAAAAGAAGAAAAGGAAAAAGGATCGAGAGCGTGCCACAGCCGCAACTGCATTGCCTCTGCTCCCAATGCTGCTTCTAAGTCAGTGATCCTCTAAACAGTTGGTTTCCTTGTGGTTTTCCTTGGGCTAGCAACCAAAAGGGGGCACCTCTGTGACCAATGGGGTGCGGCACCAGCTGTCCCAGGGAAGATCAACCAGGAGGCAGGAAGTGAATGGGCAGTGATCAGTGGAGCCTTCTTGCCTGCGTTTCCACTTGACAAAACAAGTCCTAGCCGAGTTTCAAGAGGAGCACCATGGATGCTCCATTGATTATATGGTGCAGGACGTGGGTGAGACCCTTGAGCCGGTCCGACAGATGCTCAAGGCGCGGGGTGGCTCATTGGCAAGCAGCGAGAATCTTGTTCTCGCATGGCAAAATATGTCTTGCATCACACGCTCAACGGGTTTGAAGTGCTGAAGTGGGCACAGCGTCTACGAACGCATGCAATACCCTTGATCCAACTCCTCCAACCCCTCCAACCGCCCCCCAACGGCCCCTCCAACGGCCCCTCCAACAGCCCCTCCAACCCCTCCAACCGCCTCCCAACCCCTGCAAGCGTTCCCGCAGGATGGCGCGCCGAGGCCCAAGGCAGGTGCACGGAACTCAGAGCGATGGGCGCGTCTTTCTTTGAAAGGGCAACCTGTTTTTTTCCTCTTCTTTTTTTTCTTCTTCTTTTTTTTTTTCTTCTTTTTTTTGTGAAAGGGCACCATGCTTTCTCTTTCTTTCTTTTTCTCTGAGACCGTTGGTTCATAGGGAGCTTCTACCAAACTGCGGGTTGCTCCCCTCTGACCCGAGCTCCGCTCTCCAAGGCCAGGCCCCGCACCGAAGGCTTCGAGGCGTGCCGGGGAGAGCGAAGCCGCGAGTTGGACCGTGCGCAAGGAGCCCCTCGAAGCCCGAAAAGGCGAGCAAGAAGCCCCTGGCATTTACCTGTCGCACGTTGATTTGAATATGGACGACGTCGCTAAACAGTTTCCGGAGGCGGAGCGTGAACTTGGCTGGTTGAGTGCGAGTTGGGCATGAAGCAAACAAGTGAGAGCTGGAGACTTTCAGGTTGAGGTTGAAGAGTCTGCGGTTGGGTCAAGTGGACTCCAAACCCGTGGTGCTTCATCAGGGATGGGGCTTGACCTGCCGATGCGCAGGCACGAGGTGTTGCTGATGATATGAAGACAGAGCCAAGCTCTTAGAGCTGAAATGCCGCTGCCGCTTTGAGAGGATTCCTGGGATCCGGTTTTCCTGCGCAAATTCAGGCGAAGTAGAGAGGTCGATCTCGAACGTGGCAGGTCTGCTCCAGATGATAGTGACGCCAAGGATCCAGAGGAGCACGCATGCTTTTGTGCTGATGTATTCAAGATGCAGTGGCCTGATTTACCCATCATTTCTTTCTTGGCCTAAATGCACTTTTCTTTGCCCTCCGATGCAGGAACTACGTAGAGTTATAGTTATGTCTAACTGCACACTTTATTTGTTTTAGATGTACTACACATGTGCTATCAAGCTTTCCTCAAAGTTGACTGTCCACTGTGCAGGAGCCGCCAAAGAAGGATGAGAGCGACGCAGGACTCAGAAAGTTGCGACTCACATTGGAGAAGACTCGAATCCTGCAGTGATTTGGAAGCTGATGCTACACCCCCAGCATTTGGCTACATCCTCTTCGCGAGTTACCCACGGCAATACAAAGTTTCTTTCAAGCATTGCTCTTGCCATTACGACAACGTTAGAGACAACAAATCTCATTCGTCTACTCTGCAAGTGGATGCAAACCTAAGCCAGCACTCGATTTGTGTCGCTGGGTTACCCGTGAGGATGGGCAATGCTTGTGGTTGTGCCAGATCCCGGCAGGAGCACCTGACACCAAGGAGGACAAGCAAGAAGCGACAGACGACAAGCAGGAAGCGACGTGACGCGTTGGGCAATATGTTTAACACAAGCAAACCTGACGGCTCGAGACCTAAAATGTGGATCTTAGAGACTTACCGAACATGGCGACTAGATCTTGGGTATCTACAGTGATTGCAGTTGCCTGAAAGCGAGCTGGATGTTGGCAGGACTCGGCGAGCGCGGAGCCGGAGGCTGGGCCAATGACATATGGGGGTTGATCAAAAGGTCCTTTACATAGGATGACCACTGGGGAAAACCACTAAACAGATGATATTTCCCGCTAAATGGGAAAGTTACTCATGGTCATTTGGGGGCCAGGAATATTGATCAGCCATGGCTTAGTTGTATGACATTGGTCTCTTTTGGTCAAGTCTGAGGGTTTTTCTATTCCACCCTGGGATTACACCCTTGGGAAATGACCCAGAATGGTTCAAAGTAACACGGTTTTATCCGGACATGTGCCTAAATGGGGTCAATACCCAGTGGGTGTATTCCCAGGGAGTAATACAAAAACCCCTAGATCAAGGAGTCTGTTGAGCTGTGTTGCCTCCAATTTTCAAGTGGACAAGTCGGGTCAGTTTCGTGTCACCATTCATTTCGTGCGTTGAGGACAACCCCAAGGACAAGAGGCTGCGTGAGCTGATAAGCTCCTTGACTCCAGATGCGACACATCGGGTCAGATGGAGTGGAGTCGTGCCATGGTCAGAGCACCCTTTCACTTGGGTTTGCTCAAGGGACAGTCGTTTGGCTGTGGTTGTCAAAACCGTTTTGGGATCCCATTTTGAGGTGGGTGAATTCATCACCCATTTTAGGCTTCATTTTGGTGGGGATTGGGATGTTCACTGGGGGAACGATTTGGATTTTGACCCATGGCCAGTTGACGGCACGTGCACTGTGAATAGATGAAGGTAAGGTTCTGACAGAGAGGCATCACAAGCGCTGAGGTGGTGTCTACAAGCGCAAGAATCCCGAGAAGCTCGCCGAGTTGGACAAGCTGTTGGAGAAGTATGCCGACAAGCTGGAGCAGGTTCTTCTTCTTTCTTCTGTGCGCAACCGTTTTTCGCTTACTTCCGGTGGCTGGCTTGGGTTTTCACAGGCTTATGCGTACGTCTGCGAGAAGTACGGTGAGGAGCAGGCTGGGGGAGAGAGGCTTCATCTCAGCGGAAAGCAACATGAGAGTGTCTATGTTTGGCGGAACCCTCTTTTGGTTGGTTTCAAAGAGAAGCCAAGAGGAACACCACCCTTTTTTCGGAGCACACGATAGCGATGTGTGACATGCTAAGATCTCCTTACGTGGTAGCACGCAGGCGGCGCGCAACGTCTCAGCTTGCCTTCGCTTCGCAGGAGCCCATCGAGCCAAGTCGAGAAGCTGCGGCCCAAGTCGAGCGCGTGGTATGCTATCAGGTGGTCCCCATGCCAAGCACCAAGCGCAGGGGCAATGACATTGCACGTATATGGGCGTGTCTTTTGTTGAGGGGACCCCTTTTTTGGTTGGTTTTGCGGGGAAAACCATTGTTTTGGGGGGTCCCTCAAAAATCAGACACACCCATATGGAGGATCGCAAGGGAAGTGGGTGAACATGGCACACTCTCAAGGCTGAAAGCGCTGAAAGTGGCGCCGATGTGAGCAGTGAGGAGCAATAGTACCATCCCAACTTGCTCAAACCCCGGGCGATTGACAATCCCATTGCCATAAATCATCCACCTTGTCAATTCCGGGTAGAGCATTTTAACTTTGCCGCATTTTGCTTGGATGTTAGGACTTGAACTTTTTGCCAACTAATGGGTTTTCACTTAAACCACTAATTAGCAGGGGAGTAGAAAGCAACCGAGTTAATGCCGTTCTGCTTTAAACTCCCTTGTCACAAGAGAAGAGGCATTTGATGCAGGAGAAGCCTGCGAAGCGGCATGGTGGGAGCGCCGAGAGAGCAATCAACGCTGGAATAATTTTGCTTGAAGGGGGGGGGTCCGAGACAGAATGCGGTGGTATTCTTTCGGTTCACCTTGGAAATGACCAACAGGCGCTTCCAGAAAGCAGGCCCAAATGGAGAGTGATGCTGACTGAGGCCGCAAGAAGCACAGGCGCACGGGGGTGTCAACTGCACGTGAGGAGAATGAGCGGTTAAATGGTTGCGAGCAGTGTCGCTCAGTTGTTCTTGGGCGCAAATGAGCCTGGAAAGGCAAGTAATACAACAATTAGGAACATGGCCTTCAAGACCCAAACCAAAAAGGGTTCCCCAACAGAAGGACACACCCAGTTATAGGCTGGCCCACTTCGCTGGCTGTGGTTCGGCCCGCATGGTCCGCCAACCTCTGCGGGCAACCTGTTGCTCGCGGTCAGGAGAGACATACACTCACATGGCCGTGGGTCAAAACCAATGGTACCATATTGGGATAGGTGCACCACCCATTTTAGGCTTTGTTTTAGTGGGGATTGGTATGTTCACTGGGGGTATGGGTTTTGACCCATGGCCACATACACTAACATACACACCTTGTTGAAGGATTGTCATGGCTCTGACTCTTTCTCAGAGAGGCATGCGCTCTCGTCGGTAAGTGAGGTAACCATTTGATGCCGCTTGCCAGGGAAAGGGTGAAGCCATCACCGGCATCCGACGCCGCTGTGAAGAAGGCCGGGTGGCTTGCCATGCAATCACCACCAGCATGCTTCTTTACCAGTGCTTGTATTTTTGTCTGTGTTTGTTTCTCCATGTTATCCTCTTAGCTTTGAGCGTTTGGAGTAGTCTTGGGAGTGTGTCGTTCTGTAGGAATCACACAAGGAGAAGGAGAAGGACAGGAAACGGAAGGACAAGGACATCTACCGCTTCATGTGCTTTTTTGCAGGAGTTTGCGTGCAGCAAGACAGCATTTTTGTCAGCGGTCGGTCTTTGACTTCAGGATAGAGAGAAGGAAAGGAAGCGACACAAGGATGGCTCTGCGCCGATGCACATGATGCCACTGGGTCTTGATTTGGCTGCGGCTCGAAAAACCAGTACCCGAACCCTGGTAAGTGGACACATGGACCAAAACCTGCGTAACCCCTGCTGAATAATTTTGAGCCACACCCATGTGCCACACGCTTGTTTCCCAGCCATCAGATCTAAGGCCGCCTGGCATGATGATGCCTGGCTGGCCTCGCCGGCGGTTTGAAGCCTGATTAGATTCTTTGCACGGATTAGATGGCCTACCAGGAAGGCATGCGATGCGGGTTCCCCACCACCGGAGGGCGTAAGGGATATCGACCGTGGCAAGTGTGCCACAGGGATTCATACCATCACCTCATCTACTCAGATTCGCCTTTCCAGCTCAAAGATGCCATGTTTGGCTAGCTCGTGATTCTTGGTGCGACAAGCGTGCGTCATGTCCAAGTTTGCGCGCTAGGCATGGGATGCCCATGCACCCCGGCCTTCCCATGCCTCCTGCTCAGCAAGTTCTCGCGAGTTCTCGCATCTTCGCGGTGTCGCGTGGTGTCCAGATGTGCGCGTTTGACTCTGCTTGGGTGGCTCCTCGTTTATCGAGGTACCCCTTTTTCGGTAGTTTTAAAGAAAAAGCAAAAGGAAAGCCCACATTTTGGGGAGTCCCCAAAAAATGATACACCCTGGTGGCTCAGGTTTTTGCTGCAGTCCCATGGGAGAGGGTTGCCGGAAGCGTTGCGAGGCCGGGGATGATGCCCGGTCATCCGCACTGGCCCGAGCCTTAGGGCGACAGTTCTTTTCCGACGATTCGTGGATGCGACGTTTGGTTCTGCCGCCACGATGGTACCTCGGTTCTCGGAAAGCTAGGAATGCTGTAGCGAGCCATTCCCTGAGAACCAGAAAATGCATGGCCAGCGGCAACCATGCCCCGTGACAAATAGCGTCGCGTCGATGAGGCCACCTTTCAACCCTCGCTTCCAGGAGGAGCGCGGATTGGGCAAATGGGCCCTTTGTTGTGCTCATGTGTCTTTTTTAAGGTTGGACCCCCCAAAAATGGTGGTTTCCCTTTTGGTTTCCCTTTAAAACCAAATCAGGGGTACCCTCAAAAGAAACACTCAATTGGCTATGAATTTCAGTGAGGAACTCCCTCCCACATGGGTGGACATGCATCCCCATGGAAATCAATTAAGCTGCCTACCCAGCACCGTTGTCAGGCAATGGACAGGAAGGAGAAGAAGGCCAGGCAATCCTCTGTGTTTCTGTTGCACCGTGCAGGGATTGCCTCGCTTGAGTGGGCAAGGATGCCAAGAAGGAGAAGAAGGATGGCAAAGAGAAGAAGGACAAGGCGGGATACGGGCTCTATCACTACAGATTCACGATGCAGCCAGTGGATGCACAAGCCTTGTTGGTCATGACCGCACCCTGTTGGTGAGGCGGAGAAGAAGGAGAAGGAGAAGGAGAAGGAGAAGGAAAAGGACAGGGCGTCTCATGACAGGCTGAAGTTTGCAGGCGTCTCCAATCCAGCGAGCGTGGCTTTCATCTTGATCTGCAGTCAATGCTTGGCACGGCGATGGCTACTGGCAAGCCGCAACTCAATCTGTGCAGCTGTGTTTCCATTTGTCCAGTTTGCCTGGGCAGGATGCAGAGCCAGCTCCCCCTCCAGGCACCTAGTGACGTGGTGCCCGTAGATTTGGGCGTGAGACTCTCTGAGATTGATGCGGGCTGAAACCATGAGATTTTGGACTGAGTTTGTTCAGTACTGCAATTTGCTCCATGTTCACAGGGTGCTCGTACAGTGTATAAAGTATACTCTTTGTTGCTATCGGAAGCTGGCACACGCATATGTAAAAGAAACCCCACAGAAGAACAGCGGATGGTCACTCGACACCTGGCATGGTGGGATCTGTAAGCACACATTCTAGGTCGCCCAGTAGTGCCCTTTCTCACCCCTTTTTGGTTGGGAGGCTTCCCCTACTAAAATCGACTGCAGAAGAAAGGGTACCTTTATTCTGATTCTTTCACTTCCTGAGTTCATGAACTTTGAACTTTTTGGGAAGACCATTTTAGTGGTAAATATAAAGTTTGGACTTTTATTGGGCCATCCGCTCAGCCAGATTCTAACTTCCCTACTGGAGGACCTAGCATTGGTACACCGCCCACCTTTGCCTGATTGAAGTCCATGCCTGCATGGCCAAAGCCTTTGCCAGGTGCAGGTGACTCCCTCAAGGCGTGGTCGGCGGTTTGCGATCTCCGTGACATGAGGGTCCTCTACTTGGGGGTGTCTGTTGATGCTGGTCGCCCCCCCCCCCCCCAAAGGGAAGCCGAGAGGAGAACCATCCAATTTGGGCTCCCCCCTTATTCTGGTTTTGAAGGAAAGCCACAAGGAGAACCATCCAATTTTTGTTGGGCCCTAGCCTCGTTCCAAAGGTGGCATCGTCAAGCTGACTCGCAAGCCAGCGCAGGCAGCTCGCCTGCGGGAGCTGATCCGGGGCATCTACTTCCGCTCGGGGCCGCAAGCGCGCCGAAATGGCTGTGGTCAAAACCGCTTTGGGATCCCATTTTGGGGATTGGGTGAATTCACCACCCATTTTTTAGGCTTTTTATTTTGGTGGGGATTGGGATGTTCACTGGGGGTGCGATTTGGATTTTGACCCATGGCCAAGTGTCGCCGTGGGTTCTGCGGGTGTCCGTTTCGTCCCAACTCGTGCTTTCATTGAATGCCTGAATTTGAGCCAAAGCCCGGAAAAGGCGGGCTGTGGCCAAACAACCGGCCAGTTCTCCTTTTTGCGGCCCAGGTCGCAATCCCACCAAGCTATCCGAGCTGGATGGAATCTTCGCGAAGTGACCGTCCTGTGCAGCGTGCTTCATGAGCGCGCTTGATACGAGCCTTGGATTTCCAGACGCTCCACGGGGCTCCGGTCTGACATCAATGCCTTTGCAGGTACGCCGGCGCGGAGTGGGAAGTCTACGAGCATGTTTGCAAGAAGTACGGCGAGCCAATGCTGGAGGCAAAAGCACCGAAAGCGGTTGCTCCGAATTGGACTTCGGGCGTTCCAAGATTCGCTTAGCGACATCTGGGTGTGGCTCACGATTAAAGAGCTAGGGTTGCGCAGGTGATAGTCTTTCCAGTTACCAATGTGCCATTTTGGTGCATGTCTTTGAGCCCCAGCGACATCTCACCTGCGCAATTGTCAAGCTGCGCGTTCGATCTCTCCAAATCTGTTCCTTTGGGCCACTTGTAGTGCCCGTGGCGGCCTGGAAACGTGGATCAGATCGGATAGCCAAGCATTTGGATGCAGGGTTCCACTTGTGGACTACCCCAGGATAGTCTGAAACCCAGACTTGGTTCATCACCCCGAAAGAAGAATCCCCTGGGTTTCAGCCTATCTTGAAGTAGTCATAAAGCGGAGCCCTGCTTGGATGCTTGTGCGTTGCTCATGTGCGCGTCACACGCGCTTGGCGCTCAAAGTGCGAGGCTGCAGACAACGGCACAAAGGCCCGGAACCTCGAGAGCTACACATCCGGAAGGTGCAGGATTCATTACGAGCAGGGCGAATGCCACTTTGGCCCCCGGAATTGTGAAAGTGGGTGGTTTCCTTCTCCGTCTTTCTTTTCGAACGACCCGAGAAGGCGACCCTACCCAAAGGAGGTTTGGTCAAAGTATCCAGTAGAATATGATCCATTTGACCACACAGGTTCCCACAGAAACAAAGGGGACTCACAAAATTGTCCATGTTCTCTTGGGGAAACAAGTCATTTCACATTTCATATGGCATATGTTGGCGTGTCTTGGCGTGTCTTGGCGTGTCTTGGCGTATTTGTCATGTGCTTCGGGTCACACTATGTGTCTATGGACACTTTGCCAAGGCGTCCAAAATCGAAGGCCTCTCCCCTCCAAGGCAGGGAGGGGCATGCGGCCGACCCCTCAGAATCCAAAAAGTGGTCGAGGAAGAGAACTTGCGGCATAAAAGTGAGTCCTCACTGCCCGCATTTCATGTCTGTGTTGTTTCATTGACTGAATGGTCAACCTCTGTGGAATGGCTGTCACATCTCTCCAGCCATTGGGAAGACTTGACCAGGTGTTGGAGAGATTGTGAGGTGAAACATCAGCGCTTGACAACGCGCACTTGTCAGCAATCGGTGAAGGAATCAATTGCGCGCCCTTGAGGTTTGTTTGAGCCCCCGCCCCCCCGTGAGCATGGAAGAATCACCAATCAACATAATAAGTTGGATGGGACGACTCCCACCAGTTTCGTGTGGCAAACTGTCTAAACACATGTGAAACACATCGGGTCTTCTTTTCTCCGCCCACGCGCGAATTCGCGCTTTTTCGTTTCAGCTATCGATCCATGGCCAGGCATGCGGAGGCCTGCGCCTTGGAGGAACAAGAAAATCATTTCAAGGGAAAAAGGAAACCATGGCCTTTTTCGGGCCATGTGGAGACAGCTTTCTTGGGAATTTAGTTCGGGTCCAAGAGTACCTGGTTTCCAACCGCAATCAAGTGTTGATGGTTAAGTTGACACTTGGCAGGGCTGGGTTTGCCACTTGTGCGCTACAATGAAGTCCTGATGAGTTGATTGAACATGTAAAGGGAGTTCCTTCACAGTGTTCTTTTTTGAACATATATTTTTTGCTTCCGTTGATAGACGATAGAGACTGCTTTCTGGTAGGTCTCTTGGGCTCTACCTCCGTGGTGACTGCTTTGCCAAACAAGTCCCACGCGTTTCTGGGCACTTTGCTTGCACAGAGCTTCTGCATGGCTGCTGGCTTCTTGCTTGTCAGATAGGGTTCCTTCGTTGCAGAGCAACGCCTTGCAGGCCGAGGGAGAGCACGCCAAGGCCCGGCACAGTGCGCACGCAAGACGCGCATGGATAGCGGTGGGTTTTACTTGTTTTGCACAGCGGCAACAGCACAGAAGGAAGAGTTGCCTGCTTTTGGGTCAGTCGCGTCGCATCTTTGGCACTTGCAACCCGAGTCTGAAAAGCTTCACGCGGGATTGCCTGAATTAGTGGCTCCTAATGTTTGTGAATTCTTGGTTTATGAACTGTTTCGAAGCTTTGGGCAAGGACTTTTGCAGCTGCCAAAGCTGCGTCCCCCCCACCCAAATTGCAGGGGAAGGCTTCGCTGGAGGACCAGCCAATCACCTGGCCCTTTGAGGAGGCTGGGGGTTACCAGCGCCCTCGTTTTGGCTATAGTGCTTTTAGCCAGTGAATTCTTTGCGTCTCTTCTCGTTTTTTTTTTTTGTTTCTCTCTCTCTCTCTCGCTTCTTTTCTTCTTCTTTTTTCCCGTATTTGTTTCTCCATCTCTCTTTGGCACAATCGACTCGAGTGTTGCAAAGCTGCTCCAATTGTCCCTCGCAGCAAAGTTGCCAACTCTGCGAGGAGTTCGAGGCCAACTCGCCCTCCCCAAGCCCGCCGGGCGCCGAGCGAGACATTTTTGGCCCGAGAAATGTTGGCCCGAGACAAATTTGGGTATGGGTCAATAGTTAAACCACCAAAAAACCGCAGGTTTTATGTTTCCATTCACCAGGGTTCCAATTTGGAGACCTATCTTTGACTCACTGCCATTTGGGTCATGTTGGTCGCGACTCAGGCATGATGCTGAGCCTCCCCAGGCGCGCGCGTTCTCTTTACCGCGCGCGTGCAGGTGGCTTCATAGGGCATGAAGGGCATGAGGAGGAGCCATTTCGATGGGCTCGAACCACGAAATTCTCGCGAGCCAGTGCAAAACCGATGTGTGGGAAGGCAAAGCCTTGAATTGTCGATACCGATGCTTGGCAAGCCCGGCACCTGCCACTGTTGCGTGAGCAACATCAAATCTCAGAAGAAAAAAAACATCCGTTTGCTGAAACACATATTTGTTTTGCGTTCAGATTCGGGTGTCTTGATTTCTGTAGTTGTCAAGTTGTTGAGGGCACGAATTGGGGCTTGACGGATGAGGCTGTCTGGTGGCATGGGTCGGAGGGTGTATGTTGGCAGCAGTGGTGGAGCTTCCATCGTAGCTCGCCGGGTGCCTTCGCCACCGCAGGCGTGCGAAGAGCCATGGAGGTGGGAGAACCTGGAAGACATGGACGGATTGATTTTCTTTTTTTACACCTTGGCAGCCAAGGTGTTTTGTTTTTTTTGCCAGTGCTTGATTGTTTCTTGCGTTGCTCCCTGATGTGGCTGAGACAAGTGCAAGCCGCGAGAAGTGTCAATGTCGCTGCAACAGGCGCAAGCAATGCGGCAAAGAAGCAAGCATAATCAAGCCAAGCAAGCAAGCACGCACGCAAGCACGCAAGCAAGCAAATGGACGGACGAAGGAACGAATGAAGAAACACGAGAGGTACTAAGCCTCAGAGCCAGCAAGCATTGCAGGCCGGTACCAAAGAAGGCGAAGGCGCGAAGCTGAGCTGTGCGCATGCAACAACTTCAGAGTGCGAACATCTGGGTGGCGCCTTTTTAAAGGGGTTGGACCCCCACAAAATGTGGTTTTAGTTTCCCCTTAAAACCATAAAAAAGGGTACCCCAAAGAAGACAGATCCGTATCCTTCTCAAGAATCGTCTCTTTCGTTTCTATTCCATTTCTTGAACTTGTAGAGCAACCCATCCCTGTGCGATTCTTTAAATGCCATTCATTTCGTGGTGGCGTGACACTTCTGCCAGGGAACTTCACTGGTCAAGGCTCCAGTCGGCGGCTGCCTCAAATTCGTACTGTGGTGCGGGCATTTCCGATTTGATCATTTGGGTGTGTCTTAAAATGGGGGACCCCAAACGTGAAGGGTTTCCCTTTGGCTTCCCGTTAAAGCACCCCCAAAAAGGGACGCCTCCAAAAACGCATCCAATTCGAGCCCGCGGCCTGCTTTGCAAAGAGCACTATGAAGACGCCTGCCAGGTTCCAATGTTCTTTGGGTGGAGCAATCGCGCCTAGCGATTTCGTTTGCCCTACCTATACATCATTGGAGCTGAGGATGCCCCATTAAAGAATCAAGCCAAACGTCGTATGGGCCAATCTTCGAGGGATCAGGGGCCCAAGACCTGAACGAGTGAGGTGCCAGCGCAACAACTGCGGCAAAAGCGCGCATCGGCAAGGTGTTGGCTCAGAGAGAGGCGGCGCAGCAGCGCAAGGTTGTTGGCTGACTGGTTGTGGAGTGGAGTGCTAAAGACCGACGATGACAGGGTCCTGTTCAGAGTATGGGCTGTCTTGAAGGGACGCCAAAAGGACCAACGTTGCGCCATTTTGGGGGGTCAGATTCCAAATTAACAAGAGACGAGCCACCCATGTCCAGCATGGAGCCATGGCAAACGAGGGATTCGGCTCCGCAGGCGGCTCCCTGGGTGCCACCCAAGCCGGAGGCGCGACGGGAGTCGTGAATGCAGGCAGTTGGGGGGTGTCTAAAAAGGGGGAACCCCCCTGAACATTTTTTTGGCCCGCACTTTGGTTCCCTACGGACATATGGTTTTGTTTTGGTTTCCCCTGAAAATTCAACCCCAAAAAGGGAACCCACACAAATGCACGGGTTTTGCTTGAAAATTCAACCCCCCAAAACGGGTACCCGCCAAACAACAAGAAGATACGAGCCGCCCACTCGGCCATCCGGCTGGCCGGCCGGGTGCCATGAGCGATGGCCAGGTGGCCTCGGCCTGGGGCGGCGAGGTGGTGTCCAAGGCCTGAGGGTCGGCTCGTGCGTCCGAGGCTTTTGGTCAGGGGGGGCAGGGTGTGTGCAATGGGGGGCTGAACGTTTCTTTCTCTCTCTCTCTCTCTTTTTTTCCGGGCCCACGACGAAGGCAAGGGGCGCCGAAAAAGGGGGCCGTTTTTGGTTGGTTGGTCCAAGGGGGGTGCAAGGGTCGAGTCGCATCGCTTCTGACCGCCGCACCCGACGCTCCGACGCCGAGGCCTCGGAGGAGGACGCCCGGCGGAAGCTGCTGCAGGAGTTGTGGCCGCAGCTCAAGGAGCAGGGGATCCCAAGTTGCGGTGGCGGGGTCTCGGCCGGCGGATGGCGGATGGCGGGGGGGGGGGGCGGGGGTAGGGGGTGCGTTGGGTCTTGGCAGCACGCCCTGCTGGGGAATTCTCGGAATTTGAGCGGAGGGCGCGAAAGAAAGGACCACGGGGTGGTTGGAGAGCCAGCAAGGAAACCGGCAGCACCAGGGCATGGCAGGGATGGCAGGGGAGGGTTGAGCTATTGAGCAATCACTTCACCTCACTCAATTTCCGTTGTCTTCACCGAGGCCAACAGAGGTGAGGAAGGCACAGCAGGTCCCGGAGAAGGAGGTAAAGAAGGAGAAGGAGAAGGAGGTGGAGGTGAAGAAGGAGGTGGAGGTCAAGAAGGTGGAGGCGAAGAAGGAGGTGAAAAAGGAGGTGGTGAAGCAAGAGAGGGAAAAGCCCAAGGAGCAGGCCAAAGAGGATGCGAGGCTGGAACGGCAAAGTGCAGTCCACGAGCCCCAAGTTCCCTGAAAAGCTTGGTTCAGCGGAGTGAGAAATATGGGGTGTGTGTCACCTTGAGAAAAAAATATGTGCTCCTTCTTGGTGTAAAGAACCGCAACCCCCAAAAAGGGGATACCATGAACAAAGCACCCGAAAAAGCACCCACCCCCAAAAAGGGGATACCCTCAAAAAGACCAAACCCCACCAATCCATGGGATTCAGGGCGCCCTTGGCCGGCGCAACCGCGCAGGCCGGTACCTACGGCGGCGAAGGCGTGGAGCGCCAGACGGCTCGGTGTCCCTTTCACCAGCCCCAAAAAGGGTAACGAGCCACTCATGTTTGGCTGGTGGTATACGCTTGATGTCACACTCTCGCAAAAAATGAGATAACAACCCAGCGGGAAAAAAAACTGGTGGTACATCTGCCGCCAAAAAATGAGAGAACAACCAAGGACTATTTTTTTCCTCTTGGGGCAGAAGTCGGTTTCGGCCAGATCCCAAAGCTGACAGCTGACAGCTGACAGTCCCGATGCGCCAGGCGGAGGTTGAGCCAAGGAAGTGCAGCCCTAAGGACAGAGACGCCAAGAAGCATCGGTCCCACTTTTTTAGCGGGTACCCTTGGGGTGATTTCAAGGGAAACCAAAGGGACCCTGTTTGTTTTCAGACACACCCCAGCATGTTCTTTTTTAGAGTTGATGTGGCTTCTAATCTTAGCCGCATGGTCCCTCGAGATTGGTTCACTGAGGCCAGCCCGAGCAGGCTGGACTCATGGTTTGGGGATTTGAAGCTTTGGTGTTAGAGGGTAATCGGGTTGTCCACCCCGGAACACCACCAAACCACCTTTTCAAACCACGAGTTGGAGGGGAGCTGATATGTTCAGAGTATTCTTTAAGACTCTAGGGCCGCTTGGTTGACTGTGGAAGCGGCCTTTGTTTCATGAGGCTGTTCTGCTCCAGCGTCATTTATTTTTGTCTCTCCTCAAACGTTGAGTTCTCTTCTCGCGCGAGTCAACCAGCTGGTGAAGCCAATGCCATGTTGCACGGGGCCCATGGGGCGGTGGGCGATGCATCTCAGGGGAGAAACCTTGGCCAGGCCCCAAATGTGTGGCTGCAGCAGACCTGGCCCAGGCTGGCCCGCAAGCGACGCGGGGGGAGGACTCCGCCACGTTTTGGGGCTGGTTCATGGTCTCGACCTCATTTCGAGGGATACGAGTCTGTCTTTTTCGAGGGTACCCTTTCTTGTGGTTTTAAAGGGAAACCAAAAGGACAGCCACCATTTTGAGGGGTCCCCCCTAAAAGAATAAAGAAGACACACCCATGCCGGGAATGGTGCCATGAGCGTCACCCAGCTGTGTGGGGCAGGCCGAAGGCAGCGACAGCGAAGTCACAGAGGCCGAGTGGCCCCGAGTCGAGTCGGGGAACGCGCAGGTCGGCGCTGAAATGCAAAGAGGCGGAGGGTTCCGTAGGGTCTAAGTTCACTTTGCGGTTGTAAAAAAATGGAACCCTGGGCGGATGCCTGGACACCACGAGGTTTGAACAAAACTGCGCTGTTGGTCCGTCTTTTCATGGTCAAGGCAGAATGAGCGCACGCGAGCTCAATGTGCGAATGCAAGGCGGCTCAGTCTTCGCCAGCGCCAAGCACGGTTGATGTAAGCGGGCTAGTTTTTTTTTGCAGGCAGGGACACCGCAAAGAATTCGGCGCGCTGACAGACGTAACAGGGGTGAGCTGTGACCTATCTTGCTTCCTTCTACGCTGCTTCATGCAACCAGCGCTTGCACATCCGGACCTGGCTGTTTGTTTAAATGAATGCCAACAAAAGCACGGCGCTTGAGTCTTTTTTGACAGGCTACATCTTTGGTCATAGATGCCTGCGCTTCAATGGCTCTGTGGGATTCCTTCCATGTGATACCTGCAAGAAGAGCCACCACTTTTCCGCAGGCACCCAGTGACGAGGAGGCCAAGGGCTTCTGAGGGGAGAGCAAAGAGAGGGCACGAGAGGGCGTTTTTAAGCCTAGCAACCAGTTTGTTGCGTTGCCACCTTCTTTGCCATTTCGTTGCCAGCAAGCATCGTTTCCTGCAGGCTGTCTAATGTAATCAGCATCTGCGATGTACGTTGCTTGAATGTTGCCCCAGGAGGCGGCCGACGCTGGGCAGGCTGACAAGTCAGACCCTGGACCACTTGCTTCGGTGCCGGTGTCGGACGCTCTGCCAGCTTCGCACAGCCAGAAGGCAACTGAGCCCGCGTCAGCTGCGCCGGCCCCAGCGTCCGCGCCAGCCACCGCAGTGCCAGCTGTGCCAGCTGCGCCTGCTGCGCCAGCTGCGCCAGCCGTGTCGGCAGCAGCTGCAGCGACTGCAACGGCACCTAGCCCAGCCACAGGCCCAAGTTCATGCCCGGCTCAAGCCACGCCTCCATCTGCAACCCTGCCACCTCCACCGGCCCCACCAGTCCCACCAGTCCCACCAGCCCCACCTGCCCCAGCTGCGCCTGGGCCACATGCAGGGCTAGCGCAGCCTGGAGGCGTGGCGCCATAGTCCTTTCACTTCTTAGCCATTTAGTAGGTGGTTCTTCTACCTGGCTTCAATGGGGGGGCATTTTCTGGGGGTAGAGCCCAAGGTCCATGGGTTCTGGGCGCGTTCTGTGCAACGCATGGAAGGCATGTCTATTTGGGATTTGCCATGCGCAGGTCAGGCGCCATGCGCAGGTCAGGCGCCATGCGCAGGTCAGGCGCCATTCGCCATGTTGCGCCACTCAGCTGCACATGATTGACCAAACCTGGGGGCCCTTTTGACCAGCAACATGTCGTGTCTTCTTTTGGGGTACCCCAAAATGGTGTTCTTCCAATTTGTGTAGTGCCCACAAAATGGAAGACAAGCCAGCCATGTGTCACCTGCGGATCCGAAAGCCAATATTTTGTTTGACAAAACGCATGGACACATGCACTTCGCACCGGTTGGATTCCTTCCATGGTGCCGATCGGCGTGGATGTTGGAACCATCCACTGCTTGGATGTTCAAGCCACTTGGATCATAGCCATGGTTGGGGTTAGCTCCTTCATAACAATGCTTGTAACCTGCCCATTAACTGGGTCCGCCTTTTCAGGGTGGATTAAAAAGGGAAACCAGAAGGACAGCACCATTTCAAGGGGTTTCTAGGTGGAGTCGCAGGAATTCCAGGTGCACAGCGACCTTGCACGGATTTTACTCCTGGGTTTGTCTCTAAAGGACCCCAGAATCATCGGCTTCCTTTTGGATTCAGCTGTGTGAGTGGGTTGCTCAGCCATCCTTGGCCGAAAACTAATCGATGGCAGATTGCCGGCGACCTCCGGAGATCAAATCGAAGATCAATCGTTTGGTTCTCCCAACTCAAGCCGTTGCCCACCTGTTTGTCACATGGCCATGGGTCAAAATCCCCTTGAGTGAACATCCCAGTTCCAACTAAAATAGGTTCCAAAATGGGTGGTGCACCTACCCCAAAATGACCATTGGTTTTGACCCACAGCCACATGTTGAGGCCACGCCTCGGGGCTCTCTCTTCGAGTCTCTTTCCCCAACAGCTGGGAGCCACCGGCAGTAGTGGTCTCTGATAAATTTGAAGCATGGATCTTCGTGTGAAACCCCTGACCACCCGCGCGCTGCGACAGCTACGAGTCTTTGTCCCCAGTGCGCGACCTGCCAGGCCCACCGGTGATGCTTGGTGCCCAGAGCGAAGTCGTATGGGTGTGGGTCAAAATAAATCCACGGGACCGCAGGTTTTAGTCCTTCTTTCCATTTACCAGGGTTCCATTTGGGGTACCCATCTTTGACCCACAGCCGTATGAGATGTGTTTTTTTTGTTTTTCCCCGGCCATGCGAGGCTGAGGCCGAAGTGAAGCATCTTGCCTTTTGGATTCGCAAAAACAACAAATGAACCGCTGCCCAGGCAGCAACCAGGCAGGGAGGGCAGGGAGGGATTGGTGCAAGCCATGATGGCCTTCGATTCATTGAATGCACAAAGGTAGCTTTGCAGGTGATCTGAAGTTCTTGGCATGAGATTTTGCTTTCCATGGCTCTTGTAGAGAAGGTTCAGGCATCCACTTTGCTACAACTTGTGGTCAACGTTCAGAAGTCATGGCAGCAAGCTTGGCTCGGCGACCCTTTTGAGCCGCCAAGTTGGGAAACGGATGGTCAGAGGAGTGGTCCCGCAGAGTTGCTCGGCTAGGAATGGCAATGTGGCTCTGGCCTCAGGATGCGGCGATTTGATTCGATAGCTTTTCAGTTTCGGATTGGACAGCGTCCAGAAAATGGCTAAGGCATCAGAACATGTCCGGGGGTACGCAATTTATATCTGGCAGAACCTTGCTTTGTGATTGCATCAAGACAACGTGCATCAGAAACAGACGTGGCTTCTGACTTGCAGTCCCGTTACCTTGTGGGTTGGGGGGTGGGGGGTTGGGTGCATGCCCTTCTTACTTGATGCTGTTTGGCTTAAGCTGCGGAGCGAGCTTTCCACCGGCATGGCTTTCGCAGCTTGGACGTTTTGTGATTGCAACAACTGGTCCCAGAGACACATTCACTACAAGCGGCAAGTCATCATTCTTGACTGGCGATATATGAGCGAGCCCATGCTTCAGCACGTCAGATGCCAAACGTTTCGATGCCAAGGCGAGACTTGTAGATGAACGCAGCATCAGCTTGCTGGACAAGCTTGAGAACCGTGTCTACCATGGAGGTTCAGGTAGGCTGTCAAGCCAGAGGTGCAGTCGTTTAGTTGCTGGACTGCTGTCGACTCCTTGATTTTCTTGGGATCCACTCAGGACTGCTGTTCATGAGGAACAGCCGCAGAAGCTGACGAGAGCCGCTTAGCTCAAGTTGATGTACGCAAATGTTTTCCACCCGACTCTTGGAGTGATTGAGTGGGCGTCTTGTTTCACGTTTGGTTCAGCATTTGAGCCCTTCATTCTGTGGGGTTCCACGCTTGATGCTGCATCGTTGCTCAATGTACCCAAGGAAGTGAAGGGCAACCTTCTGAGAACCATCTACCGCCAGATGGATATTCGAAATACTGGCCGGGTGAGTGGCTTGATCATCGTTTCTCTCGGTCGTGTAGTCCAGTGCCACGATGAGATGAATGTGAAAAGGGACCCTTTTTGGTCAGGTGTCTATTTTCAGGTTGTTTTAAGAGGCAATATTGCCAGCAACCACGAAAAGCACCAAATTGGAAGACCCCCAACACCTTTTTTCAGGCAGACATGAGGTCAAGAAGCAGGCCCAGGGTTGGACTCCCGCGAAAGTGGTTGCCATCCGAGGCAAGCAGGATCTAGGATCCATGCTGCGGAAGATCGACCCGACAACTACACCGCAGAAGGTCGCACTTGCTTCCAGTCAGTCACTTGTACTGAGTGTTTGGAGTAACCTGCACCTTCTGAATCTGGGTGTGTGATTTTTTGTAGTCGACCCCCGCAGAAATGCCGAATTTCTTTTCGGCCCCCCTTGAAAAGTTCACGGAACAACCTGGGGGGGGGGGCTCAGAAAAGAGAAGGGAGACAGACAGCCCATGATTCTTCGTTCTAAAAAAACAAAAAGCAAAAATCCCGTGGAGGGGTGGAGTGGGAGTGAACATGGGCAGGTCTCCAGCCTGCTCAAGAAGATGAGCACGGACGGGGATGAGATGGTGAGCTTTGAGGAGCTCCTTGGCTCCGGATCGGACGAAGGAGTCCGATCCGCGGATCCGGCGGCGGTGTTTGATTTGTTTGGTTTCTCCCCCCAGGCGGATCGATCGATCTCGCGACAAGGAGCTCTCGGTTGGGCGTGTGTTTTTTTTGCTTTGCTTCAGGCGCTTCCAAAGCCGGCGAAGGGGATTTTGTTGTTTGGAAGACTGGGCTCCATTTGTTTGGGACCTTCTGGGAGCAGTCTGAGGGAGTGTAGGATCTCTGGCCACTAAAAGTCAGAGTCTTCGGGTTTTGTCTTGGCACATGGGTCGCCGGATTTCCCGTCTCTCCCAGGTTTGTGGAGTTCTACACCCATTTCGAGGAGGGCGATGACCAACACTCGGACATGATTAAGGCCGCGCCCGCTCAAGTCGAGGAATCTGAGAGGCGCTTCAAATTTGTTTGATCCGGCAGCGATCTCCACATAGTCGTACCGAGTCCATCAAAGGAACTCGTTGCATGCGACTTGAAGCCATGAGGATGTGGCTGTGTTTGATGTGGCCGTGTATTTTTCTAGGGGACCCCCCAAAAACTCGCTTTCCTTTTGGTTCCAACATAAAACCGCCGAAAAGGGTGGCCCAGTGGCCCCGAAAAGAAGAAGCCACGGCTCCCGCCGGGCTCGGGCGCCACGGCTCGTTGGCTCGGGCGGAGGCCACCTTCCGCGCGTGGGACACCGACCGCAGCGGCAAACTGTCGAGGAAGGAGTTCTTCTCCGTGCGCGGCTTACTCGGGGATGGGAAACGGGGGGAGCGGGACAAGGGACGTGGTATTTCGAAAAGGGGATCTGGGAGGTGTCCACATGCGACGTACCCTGAAAAGGGGATCGATTTTGGAGTCCATCGCAACTTGAAGGTGAAATCTGGCAGATTCGTGATACTTGAATGTAGCCAAGGTCATGAAGTCCCTCAACAAGTCCATGACCGATGCCAAGATCACTTTGCTGTATACAGCTGCTTGGATGTTCCATAACGAATGATCGCGACTCTCTCTCTCTCTCTCTCATGAATGGAAAAGCTGAGGCAATGGACAGGGATCACGATGGCGCCATAGCTGCAGAGCTCTGGTGCTTTTGGCAATGCTGACGGCTCAAGCCACGGGCACCTGGGGGTTGATCTCAATTTTTCCTTCGGCGCCAAAATGAGGTCATGGGTACCTTTGTCATGGTTATCAAGGCGGTGTTGTGGGTTTGATCAATCTTCCGTTGAAAGGCCCCCGCCCAAATGAGCAACCGTTTCCTGTTTAGTAGGGAAAGTCATCCTTTTTTGGAGAAGTCCCCAATGGTCATCGCATATCCATGTTAAACGGGCCTTTTGATCAACCCCCACATGGGGTCCGATCATGAATTTCTTGAGCCCGAGGCAAGATTTCTTATGAGGAGTGGATCGACTACATGTTCCAGCAGTGAGGTCCCATGATTTCCGCGTAGGTTCGCCGTGCTTTGTGCTTCGACGTATCTATTAGATACATTCAGGGGCGAGAAGCAGCCACATAGCAGCCACTTCTTAGCCATCCAGAATTGGCAATGCCAGTTCGCTTATGTTTCACCTTGCCATGATAAAGTCACCTGGCAATTGAATTAGAGCCCTTATGGTGCAGCCGGGGCTCACTCGAAAATCCGCCGGATCCGCGCGGGCGCTTTTCTCGGCTTTGCGCGTGCGACTTTCCGGTTAGCTCGAAGTTCCATGTGAGCCGAGGCAGCTGCGGCCAGGCCAGGGCTTCCGTTTGTGCCGAACAGAGCTCACCATGGGCCTGGGAATCAGGGAGGCCAGTGAGCCTATGGGATGTCTTGCCTATTGCAGAGGAAGATGGGTCAAACTCAGTCACCAGGAGTTGGACCGCAGGTTAAATCGTCCGTGTTTCCATTGGCTCATTTACCAGGTGTCCGTTTTGGATGCCTATGTTCGACACACAGCCAGATGAAGATCGGTTTTTTCGTGGTGCTTTTGGGTCATGCAAGTCATGCAGTGGGATGGCCCCAGTCGCGAGGCATGCAGTTTGCTCCAACCCTGCCACTGCCCTGGGCTGAGGATTTTCTTGCCGGTTCTCGAACGAGTTGGAATGAGCCCAAGAAAACCCCATCCGGGTCAATTTCCTCTGGGTTCCTTTAATGGAAGGTTCATCCACAAGACCCCTCTGAGGCCAGGCATGGCGCCCCAGACCTTCATCCTTCCAGGTGCGATGGCGTAAGGGGCGTTTGCCGCGCCGCGTTTGTGTCGGGCACCCCCCTACAATGACGCCTTCGGTTTCCCTTTGGGTTTCGAGCAGAGGAAACAGAAGCATGGTATCCTCGAAAATGCGCCTGTTTGCCTAATTGCCTACTCACATCATGCCATCATGCCGGCTCTTCAGCCTGCTGCGCGCGTCTGAGCGCCCGAAAGGGTTTCTCTCGGTCTGTGAGGATGTGTTCGGTCGAAACTCGACTTGGAGCCCAAGCGCCCAGGCTCGCTGCCGGGTGTCTCCATGCCACAGTCGGGGTCCCGAAAGGATCGCAGATGACGGGATTCCTCCAGAAAGATGTACGGACAGAGCCCTTTCCGGCACAGACCTTGATATGTTGGTGGTGTTTGTTTTTTGCATGGGCATGTTGTAAGGGTGTGAGGATGCTCACGCAGTACCAGCGGTTGGTTCCAAGAGCAGTTCTTCAAGGGCAGCCCCAACCGAAACTTGGGATGAGCCAACCGCATTTCTGTGCCCAAGTCCTTTTCTTTTCCATGGGCCCGAACCCTTCTATTCCTGGCAGGGTTCCACCTTTGTTTACTACCCCTCATTCCCCCAAAAGGAGAACTGAGCTTAAGACCAACTCTTGGGTAGTCCAAAAGTCGAACCCTTCTCTTCTCTGGCCTTATGGTGGGTCCAACCCCCCCCCCCCCCCGGCCCTGCGGGAAAGGGTTAGAGGCACTGCCGGTAGATCCTGGGCCGAGGCTTGGCAGCGCGCCTGGCTGGCCGGTGGGGTGCTCAGAGAGCCGAAAGCTGTGGGGTCTCTGCATGTGGCTTTTCTGAGGGTTTTCTGGGGTCTTCGGTTCATGGGCTCATGGGGCTGTCGCTGGTGGATACCTGGACTTACTTGTTGTGTGTGTGTGTGTGTGTGTGTGCGTGTGTTTTTCTCCCTGTTTGCTGGAAGCATACAGCAAGGAGGCCTCGTGGCTGAGCATGAGGAATCGGCTTTTGACATTCAGGGAGGAACTAGCTGCAGGTTGGACAACCTTTGCCTATCCAGCAGAAAGGGAACGTCCTGGTGATTTTTCGAGGTTCTTCTTGGGTGTGTCGCCTATTTTGTGGGGCCCCCAAAATGGCACAGCGGTCTTCCTTTTGGTTTTCCTGCAACACCCGCAAAGAAAAGGTGCCCTCAAACGAACGCGAGACAGCCTCTGTTTCCGGCGCTTATATGGCTGTGGGTCAAAAGTAGGGTAACAAAATGGGTTGCCCGATCGGTAAAAGGAAAGAAGTACGATGGAACCTGCGGTCCATGCCTTGGTGACTCATTTTGACCCATATATACCCATATGGGTGTGGCTCTTAGCGGCCATGTTGGTACATTTAGGACCCACGCCCATCAAAAGCCTCTGCCGGGTCCCGAGGCTCTGCTTCCGGGCCCTGGTACAGGCCTCAGGACATAGCCTGGCGAGAAACGCGCGGCGCACATGCGGGTTTGCATGTTTTGAGGGCACCCATGGTACCCCTCCCCAAGCAAAAACTGGGAGGTGTCCTCTTGGTGTCCCTTTGAAACCAACCCAAAAAATGGGGCACCCTCACAATTTGCCAGGCCCGCATGTTGTTGCCTCTAGCTGAGAGTCAGCTTTGCTGCGAGGTCCGCCCGTGGGCCCGAGATAGTGGAAAAAGGGGTTGCTGGATCGCGAAGCGTTGCCGTTGAGTTGCGGTTTTCGGGGGCCAGCGCTCGTGTTTTGCCGGCGCTGCCAAGCAGTCGGAGAAGTTTGCACACTTGTGGCATGGAAGCTCGCGCGAGGGGCGGTTCAATCAGCCACTAGGGCGGAAGGCAGGTGACAGCTAGCAGCTCTCCCAGCTCCCAGTCTTTTCGACATATTTTTCGCGAGGCTTGCCTCGCTGGGAATTGATTCATGCCAAGCCAAGGGATGGGTACACAGACTGAGCATCGGACCAACCTTCCACTGAAGCTAGAAAGGTAGTCGATGGGCTGCAAAGCAGTCGCTCGCTGACTGCCTTCCAAGGGTCGAGTCTTGGAGCAAGTTGCATGAAGCGCGTGTCAGTACGACCTGCCGGGTTTGACGCATTCTTAGGGGAAGCTTCCCCATTCTTCAACCAGGGATCCTTCCTTTCAGGAAACCATAAAAAAAAGTTTTTTTTTTTTTGTTTAACAGACCGGTGGGTGCAGAAACAAAAGAACGGGGAGTTATCCCCTAGAGCCTCGCTGGCGAGGCCTCTCGAGTTTTCCGGGGAGCCCAGGAGATGTCTCAGTGGCGCTCCTTTGCCCTGGACTCCTCGCGGTTGTTGGCATCTTGGCAGCCAAGAGAGAGCGCGAGAGAGTGAGAGATAGAGAGCAAGAGCAAGAGCAGGGGAAGCTCACCCAAAGCAGCG